GATCATGGACTCGGGGCGGTTGGGGAACATCTCGTGCAGCTGCTTCAGCGAGATGGTGGCCTTCGTCCCCGGCGCCTTCCGATCCTGTACGGCCTGGAGCCGGCGCAGGCGCTTGAACACGTACACATACAGCCGCCGCTCCTCCAGGTCCCTGAGAAGGGAGGAAAGGCAGCACGCGGCGGGGTGGGATGTATGTGGTGGGGGGTGAGCAGGGTGATGCGTTCGAGCATGGACAGGTTCCGTGTCATCCACGATGAGGATCCCTCCCCGATACACTGTCCGACGCTGCAGACCAAGCCTGATTGGTCCATGCCGCCGCACTCAAAGCCCATGGTCCCCTCCTGTTCCCCTCTCGACGCACTTGACGTCCCTGGAGTTGGGGGCGGGGATGCGGTGGTGGGGCAGCTGCTGCCCCAGGGCGATCGTCCCCGTCATGGCCCGGAGCCGCATGATCCCGGTCTGCGGCGATGGGGTGTTTGGAGGGGGGGGGGTGGGAGCAGCAAGGGATCCAAGCTGGAGTCAGGCAAACACTACGGCTCCCCCGCTCCTCAGCAAGGCACCGCTGCCACCCGCCTCGGTTGCCCCTGCTCAACTACATACCCCCCTTCCAAGACGCACCGGGCTGCGGACCAGGAGGAAATCTGTGGACGGCACGTCGTAGGGCTGGGCGGGTGCTCGGAACAGCCCCGTCTCCACCGCCAGCTGGCGCGCCCCGGGCTTCAGGTCGCCGAGGAAGGGGGATTCGTCGTCGTCGCCGAGTGGCAGCACGCTCCCAACCTTCCACCGCGCCTCGTCGCCGTCTGCGATGTGGGTGGCACCGGCGGCCTTGTGCTTGATGGGCGCTGTCGGCGCACTGAAGGTGCACCGTGACAGGTGCCATGATCCGCCGTCGACCCCCGTGCCCGATCCCTCACCCACCCACCCAAGACCCCCCAAGGTCCTTGCTCCCCTCCTGTTCCACTTGCCTGTCAGCTGCATGTACTCCGTGTCATTGACATTCTTCCTGCGATAGTAGAGCTGCAGTCTTGCCCCCATCCCCGGCCGGTTGAGGAGCAAGGGCTGTGCGTGAGGAGTATGAGGAGGGGAAACGAGGTTAGGCCATCGTTGACGATCCGGAAAATCTCCCGTGTACAGTGCTGAGACACCTATGCAGGTCAGACGCGTCCCTCAGCAGAGCATGCACCCTCCGCCTGCAACCACTGAGCGGAGCCCCTGGCAAGCGGGGAAACAGCCAAGTACGCCTAGCCCCTTGCCTCACCGTCTGTTCCAGGTACTCCAGAAGGATGAGGTGGCCATCCTCTGCCGCCAGGCTCTTCCTCTTGGAAAAGGCCATGGGTGGTCTGGGGAAGGCGAGGCGGAGTGGCACGGGGTTGAGGCGTGGTCGGAAGGTCTGGCGCGGGGCTTCAGGTGGTGGAACCTTCGCCTGGGCTGCCTGCAATCCCCCATGCTCGACGCAGCCCCAGCCACGCATGTCGCCGCCCCTGCACCCCACCTCAGCAGCGCAGGGTTGGTCTCGTCTGGGTGGGCGTTGGCGAGCACATTTGGCTGGAGGATGAGCTCCTGGAATGCCACCATGAGGTTCACCTGGTGCACGAAAAGGGTGAGGAGGATACCCTCAGGGAAAACTTCAAACACCCAAACACACTTTCACAGGCGGCCAAGCCATGCATGTGAGCTTCCCTCACCCCAGGATGCCCTACACCGCCCCCACCTTGGTGTCGCCTGCTCTGATCCCGGCCTCCTGGAGGGGCACGTCGGTGCGCAGAGCCTGGGGCGGCTTGCCCGGGAGGAGCATGAAGGGGGTCAGACCCTTCTCCCTGGCCTCCTCAAATCCGTTGCTCAGCAGCTGGCAGGGGATGGCGGTGGAGGGTGGAGGGAGTGAGTCGCAGTGCGGTGCAGGGAATGGGCGAGGCTGCCCTTTATTCCCCTTGAGGACAGGCCAGCCACCCATGCACGACTCGCCAGCCCGCGGTGCACACATGACCTCCGTGCTCAAGCGTCACCCTTGGACACGGGCCTTCTCCTCCCGCACCCTCTCCTCCTCCCCCTCCCCCTTCCCTCAAAACCTCACATCTTCCCAGAGCTGACTCAGCGAAGTGGCGCTGACGTCCACGTTCAGGTAGGACTTGGCGAACCCCGGCAGCGCAGTCAGGTTGACGCTGGCCACCGAGGTAGGCCCCTGCGGCGGCTTGAGCTGCAGCCGCGCTTTCTTGGCCACCACCGGCCACCACGTCGCGCGCGGGCGGTGGTAGGCGTCCTTGTCGTGCACGCTGAGCTTGACGGGGATGGTCAGCAGGTCGGCCGCGGGGCGCGCGTGCGCGCCGGGCCGCCCCACCGTCCCGCCTGCAGGGTTGGGTTTGTGCGCGAGATCGAGTGTGCGGTGGAGGGAGGTCATGAGGGAGCTGCACGATACCCAATGTGTCCCGACCGTTTGTTCACCTCTGGGCCCCCATCACGGCAGGAGGACCTAGGGCATCCCCAGCACCCCCCACTCCCTCCTCCACCAATGTACCCCTTACACACCTGCTCGCTTCTTGGTGTGCTGGCTGTACAGGGAGTCCAGGGACACATTGAGCCTGGCCAGGTCCGCAGCTGCTCCGTCGCCGGGGTCGGCGGAAGCCGCACTCGGCGACGGACGGCCCGCCGGCTTGTAGGGCAGGATGCGCGCCGCCGCGGCATGCAGACCCAGCCCCGCCAGTTTCTTCCCCGCCGCCGCCGTCATCGCAAAGGTCAGCCCCGGGTCGTTCAGGTCCAGCCACAGCGCGGCCGGCGCCGGCGGGCGCGACCCTGCGCCGTCCCAGCGCACGCGGTGCTCCCAGGCCAGCAAAGGGGGCGCGCTGCGTGCGCCGGCGCCGGGCGTCGGCCGCCAGCCCTCCTCCAGCCGCAGCACGGGGGCGGGGCGCAGGATGCGCACCTCCTCCACGTCGCTCTCCTCGCTGTGCTCCTCGGCAGCCAGGCGCCACGTCGGCAGCGCCTCCACGCGCCAGCCGTCGGGGGGGGTGGCGCTCTGGGTTGCTGGCGCCGGGCGCGGCTCGCCGGGCCCCGCCTCCTCCTCATCATCATCACTGCTGCTGTCCCCGCCCCACCGGACCTGCGCCTCCCAGTCCGCCTGGCACAGGCTGGAGAACACCTCGTCGGGGAGGCCGGGCAGGGCCTGCTCGCGCCAGGCGGGCGGCGGGGCGCCGCCGGGCGCCGGCGCCGTGGGTGAGGCGGGCTGCGAGGCGACGCCCGGGGCGTTTGGCGCTGGGCCGGGCTCCGGGGCTGGCTGGGCGGCCTCCGCCTCCTCCGTGCCCTCGGGAACCTCCCAGACATCGGGGCCCTCCGGCAAACTCGCGGCCGCGCTGCCCCGCAGCGCTTCGCTCTCGTCCTCTGCCTCGGAGGGGGGCCCGGTCGTGCCAGGCGCGGGAGCGGCCGCCAGGGGCGCCACTCGGGGAGTGACGCGGTCCGAAGGGAAGATGGACGTCCCCGCCGACTCCAGCGCGGGCCCAAAGAGCTCAGAGAAGCGCAGCATGGGCCGGCCGTCGGGGCCAGGGGCCAGGGCTGGCAGCCGGGCGAGCAGGCCCACGGAGGAAGGCTGGGCGCCGGGCGCAGTGGCCGGCGGGGCGGGGCGGGGAGCCCCTTGCTCCGGCGCCTGCGCGGAGCTGCTGGGCCGGGGGCCGCCTCGCTTCCTGCCCCTGCCACCGCAAGCTCGACCGGCGGGACTACCAGCTGACACAGCGCCTCGGGCTCGCTCTCCATGTCATAGTCGTCCTCCTCCTGCTCTGCTGTCCCACCTGCAGGGGGCTGGGCTACCAGAGCAGGGCCTGGGGTAGAGACCAGGGAGGCCTGCGTGCCGGCCCCTTCGTCGGCGATGAGCTCGACCTCGTTGCCATAGTCTTCGGCATCTGCCCTGGGACCGGTGACGCCGTCCTCGGCCCCCTGTGGTGCACTGGTGCCTGTAGCACCTGTTTCTTGCAGAGACTCCTGCAAAGAGGGCATTGAATGACTGCAGATGGGCAGGTGCTGTATGTTTTACAAGGCTGTCGTGGGAAACCAACACCAGGAGCCGACCCATGGACAGCACCTCTGCTCCCTGCCCACACGAGCCACACCTTGAGGCCTAGGTCCCCTTGAATCCTGGCCAGGCCAGCCAGCTGGTCCCTCGCGTCCTGTGCAAGCGTGGAACGAAGAAGGGAGGGTGGTGTTGAGCGAGGGTGGGGAGGGGGGTGTTCGGTGAGCGTTGTGCCTCGGATGGCCTCTCGCACGCAGATACTGGCATACTCACATCATCCAGGTAATCGGCATCCACACGGTTGTGCTGGTCCACGTTCCCGAAGAGGAAGCCCAGCAGGGGCTCCTCGTTGCCATCGTCCATGGACCGCAGTGTCGCGTCCGGCTCACCCCCCTCCCATCGCCAGTGAGCGCTGGATGCAACTGGCCATGCAGGCGATAAAATGCGGGGTAGGGCGGTCAGATCCCTGCGCAGGTGCGGACGTGCCATGGCACATGCACACCGACACCGCCGTGCCTCGCACGCTGAATCGAAATTCCAGACCTCTGTGAAAGCACACCCCGGTGCTTTTCCCCCCTCGGTGATTGCACATCCAGCCAGGTATGGATCTACAGAACGAGTCAAGGTCTGGTTAACTCAAGGTGCCCATTGGCATTGCTATGAAGGTTGTTTGGAACTGGGAAAGGTCATATTAACGTCAGGTGTGAGTGTGAAGAGGATGTCATGTCAGGGATGGAGGTCATCAAAGTGTGGTAAGTCAGTGGAGCAAAATGTCTTTTGCAGCCATTGCGGTGTCAATCTGTCCTGCTCCAGCCTGGCAGGGTGTGATGCTTGGTATGGACTGGCACGGTGTCCCCATGCGTGCCTCTCCGCAAGAGCATGTAGCTGCTCCCACCCTGGACCCCTGGGCCATAGCTCAGGTTGCTCCTGGCAGGCAGACTCTCCAGGTGTGTGGACACTACCACGCAGCCTCTGGCAGGTGATTATGTGGCGCATCGTGAGGCGGCCTCTACTCCTCCAGGAACCTGCCATGGGTGCCCGAGGTGGGGGGCGTGTCTGCATAGTCCTGTGCAGGCGGGTCTGCCCGCCCCAGGTACTTCTTGTGGAAGCGTGCGAGGGAAGGGTCGTGGCGCAGCATGTTGCGCCACTTGTCCTTGAGGTCCACCTGTTGCAGGGAGGGGAAGAAGTTCACTGGGGCGGGGCGGGGATGCTTGCTGTTTGGGCCGCCCCCCCTGTCCCCTGCATCCCGCCATGCAGCAAACTGTGTTCATCCCCCCCGATCAATCCTCGCTCACGATGCTGCGGTCAAACAGGTGGTTGCCGTTCACCCGGTCGTGGTCCTTGATCATCCTCCAGTTCCCCGCCTTGTACATGGGGTGCTGGCAGTACTTGAGCAGCACATCCTCCTCCCGCGCAGTCCACGGCGTTTTCTGTGGCCAGTGAGGAGGCTTGAGAGCGGTGAGGGAGGAGAGATCTAAGCTTGCGCTCCAGCTGTGGATCCCCAATGCGCATGTGGGCATTGGCACGGGACGCGAGGCCCCTCGACTCCCGCCCCTCCCCTCTGGCTCTCTGTCACAGGAAACGAAGTCTCCCCCTTCCGCCCAGGCACCCAGACGCACCTTGCGCCGCTGGCCGTACTCCGGTGTGACCTTCTTCAGCGGGGGCAGGGAGTCGGGGTCGAACACCGCCTCGGCCCTCCTGGCCTGGGGGGTGACCTGGAGAGCGGCCGAGGGGCCTGCAGGCGCAGGCTCCCGCGGCAGCGGCCCCGGCGTGGCCGTGGGCGAGCGCCATGGCCTGATCACCCCCGGGCCCCGCGAGAGGGGCTGCCCCACCTAGAGGCGCATGGGGCAATGGGGCAGGGGGTGAGGGGACGGGGGCTGATGCACGACTCCACCCTCCAGCGCTGCGCCTGGGCAGGGGAGCTCGGCGCACACCACACCCGCGCAGGGGTGGGCTGCGGTGATGCAAGCAATGCCACGCAGCGCAGGTACCCACCCACTCCCAGTGCACCACCAGTGCTCACACACGCCCGAGCCTTTCCGAGCCAGGCCACCTGGGCCGGGGCGTGTGCCACCCCCCTTCCCCGCCGAGCCCTGCCCAGCCCCACCCCCGCACCTCGGCCTGCGCGCTGGTCCCCGCCGCCAGCGCCCCCAGCAGCGGGTCGGCGCCGCCAATGCCTGCCAGCTCACCTCGCACCCTGCCCAAGCCCTGCAGCACTCCGGCGGCGGTGTGCTCGTCGGCTGAGGCCGGTGCGGCGCGGGGCGAGGCCGGGTCCGCGGGCATGGGGAGCGGGGCCGGGGCGGGCGCCGGGCTGGCGATCGGCAGCCCCGGGAAGCGCGTCGTCAGGCCCGGGAAGGAGTACGCCCCGCTGCTGATGTCCTGGCTCACCATCTTTTTTTGTGCACGGGGCGGGGAGGGTGGTGAGTGGAGGGCCAGGCAGGAGAGCAGGCGCGGCAGCGCCGTCCGCGCACAGGCACGGTGGTGCGCCATTCAAGGGCGACGGTCAGGCCCATCTGACCTGTAGGAAGGTGGGGCCTAGGCTGGAGCGCAGGGCGGCGGCGTACTCGGTGAGCTGCGTCTGGATCTGGCGCCTCCGGGGGTTGACGATGCGATGCGCTTTCCTCCGTGGGTTGGCTGCCACCTCCCGCAGCTCCTTGAACCTGGGCAGGTGAGGGCGGGGAGAGGTGGGGTGGGGAGCGGCGAGCACGCACAGCAGAATGTGCCAAGCGAGGGCAGCTGCAACTCCGTCCACTTCTCGGTGCAGAGAACTCACACTTCCAGCTCCTGTGCCGTCGGTTCGGGAAAGAAGCTCAGCACAATCTGCTCGCGCTCAGCAAAGTTCTCCTGCCCAGCGGCTCTGAGCGCCTCCATGGCCGCATGGGTGGACACCTGGGAGGGGGAGTCGGGAGGAAGGTGGGCGAGTGAGTGCGACTCTGAGCAAAGGCGCGTGGTTCCAGGACGCAGCGACCTGACCCGGGAACATCCGCAATAGACACTTGCTTCCCGGAGACAGGGCCCACACATGTCATGCGGGTTCCATATCAGGCAGCCGAAAGCGGTCGATCGCCTCCATGGGCAACCATTCCCCCCTCACAGTGCACCAATAGCTACAACCCGTCGGTTGCGAGTGCATGGCTGCATGGAAACGCACATCTGTGTGGAGGTTGGGTGGAGGTACCAGGCGCTCCCCATGAGGGACACGGAGGGGCAGGACGGCCTCCAGGGAGCGCAGGATCATGGCTGTGTGGGAGTTGATCCGGTGGGTGCCAATGTGGTCCTCCAGCGCACGGAGGAAGACCCGGGCCTGCAGCGGCTCCAGCTCCTCCTCGGGAAATGCCTCCAATATGCGCTCCAGGTCATCGAAGGACAGCTCGGGGTCGGCCACGAGCTGCTCCAGGGCCCACAAGCGTTGGTACTTCTCCGACACTGCCGACATTATGGCCGGAACACCTCGGAACCCCTCGCCCCTGCAGCCAACGAGGAAGGGACCTCGGCAAGAAATCTCCGTGTACGGAAAAGGATTCCCGGCGTGCGTTTATGTATGTCTGTCCTTTTAATGAAGTGGTGGGGCCCTTTCCATAAAGATGGCGGTCATGGGGACGGCCTAGGTTTAGGGTATGACGGATGGGGTCGCGACAGGTGGGCCGCAAAACACGCGCGCATTCGAGGCCTCTGGTCGTGCAGACCAGACCGGGCCCAAATGCATAGCGATCGAACACTTCCAGCTCTGTGTCGCAACATATTGTTACAGTGCCAATTACAGACGAATCGAGGGAGCAGAGATGTGAAGCCCAGCTCAATCGATTGATAGGCTCACTCGTTCCACTCGCGCCAGCGAGGCTAGTGTGCGACGCAGGGAGGACATGCACCGTGCTACTTTGGGCACCTGAGTGCACAGTATGCGCTAAGAATGTCGAAACCGGAATCCCGTTCCCACCAGACCCTCGTTGCCTTGCTGGAGAGAGATGGTGCGTGGGTCTCCACCCCCGACTACACCACTCCCTTCAAGGGCCTGGACGATGCGCTCGACCGACTCCTACCCTACCATGTGAGGATGGGGTCAGCTGGAGGTCGGAGTCTTCCCGGGTGGCGGTGGCAGGGCGGAGCTGCCCGGCACTGGTCCTGTGCCAGCATGGGGGCGGTGTGTCCAGAACATCATCATGTCCCGTCACGTGCACCGGAGCAGCCCTGAGATATCTTGCCGCCCCTCTCTCCTCCTCCCCAGATGCTCGCCGGGGAGAACCCTGCTGAGGCCGATGCAGAGGCCGCGGCCGGAGCAAGCGGGGGGGTCCTGGCCGCGCCCCGCAGCGAGGTCTGGCGCGCACAGCTGGCGGCGCGGGCGTTGGACCTGCATGCCATGCAGCACGCGCTGGACGGGCGCGTGACAGCTGCCGAGAAGGCGCTGCTGACCAAGTCAGAGCTGCCGGCCCTGATGCTGCAGTCGTACGCCACCGCCGAGGCCCAGGCCCAGGTCCAGGCAGAGCTCAGGCTGAGGCAGGCCGCCGACGAGGCCGCGCGCGCCATGGCGCGCGGGGATGCGGCCCTGGCCCCTGTGCCGGCCCCCGGCCCCGCCGCCGGCCCGGCGCAGGCCCCGGCCGTGGCAGGGGCCCCGGGCGGCGCACAGGACGCCCAGCGCGCGGCGCCGCTGGGCGCCGCACCGGCAGCGCCGGTTCAGCCGCCGCACGTCCAGGCGCAGCAAGCAGGCTCGGCGCCGGGGTCACAGCCGGCGCAGGCACAGGCGACGGCGGCCCCGCCACAGATGCCCGCTGCGTCTCGGGCCGGCCCGCCAGGGTCCACTGCGGGTGCGCCCGCCGCGCCGGGGCCCAGCGCGGGAACCCCAGCGGCGCAGCCGGCGGCAGGCCCGGCCTCCCAAGCTCCCTCCAACCCGGCGCTGGAAAAGCAGCGGGCGCTGGCGGCCTTGGCGGCGCGCATCAAGCAGTCGGCAAGGCGGTGACAGCGGGCGGCAGACCAACACGCCGTGCATGAAGCGCGTGGGGTTAGCCCATTATGCCTGCACCGCTGTGGCAATCCATGTGCAAGGTGCCGTTGAATGCGGCGACAGATCTGAAGTCAGCAGACCTACATTTACAGGTTGGCTCCATTGGGCAGAGCAGGATATCATTCTAGCCAAAGCGAAGAGATGGAGCAGTGGTGACAGTCGAGCAAGTGAAGTTTGGAAGGGGTTATGTGAGGGTACATGTCAATGTCAAGTCGATGCAGCTCACCCTTATGGGGCGGTCTCTGATCGCTATGCAATCCTGATCCCACGCGGCTCAGGCACGGGCCAGTGTCTGGGCTGTGAGGCCTCCTGCCGGCCTGCCCCTCTTGAGTCGGCCAGAGCGCGAGAGGGGAGAACGATGAACCACGTGCCGCGTCACTCGATCTCCTCAATGTGGGCAAGGCGGTGGGGGTTGGAGGGCAGGCTGGTCTCCCCGGAGCTGTGCCGCCGGGCGGAAGGGGACAGCCCCTGCGCCACGCCGGGGGGCAGGAACCCCGGCTCCGGCATGACAAAGCCGGCAGGGCCGTCCTCGACGGGGCCCTCCTTGCCTCCCTCCTCTCCGAACCCGTCCTCCAGGAAGAACTCAGCAATGGCCTCCATAGCCGCGCAGACTCCGCGGTGTTCTTCCAGTTCGTAGCCCTTGCCGATGAGCTTGGGCGCGTCCAGCCGCCAAAGCACCTTGCGCGCGGTCGGCACGCGCACCAGGCAGAGCAGGGCCTCGCTCAGCGCCTCGCGCGCCTCGCCGTCCGCCTCGCCCTCCGCTTCGCCGCCCGAGATCACGTCCAGCATGGTGGTGAGGGCCTGCGTGGTAAAGGGGGATGCCATGATGACATCGTGGGTGTTTGCTGCAGTATGGTCTGGCATGGCACAACATGTGGAGGCCAAAACCAATGATGCTTGAGTGATGCCACAGTCAAACCCCCCACACGACTCACCGCCTCCTCTGCCAGGATGTCCTCGAGCGTGCCGTCCTCCTCGGCCGCGAAGAAGCAGTTCTTGATGGCGCGAGCAGAACCGCGGCGCCGCAGTTCGCTCTTGGACCGCAGCTGGCTGCTGAGGGCGGTAAGCAGGCCCCGCCCCGGCTGTAGCAGCAGCTGCCGCCCGGCTGCCAGGCGAGTGACGTTGGGCAGGATGGTCGCCACGTGCTCGTAGGTGTCCTCAGAGCCGACGACCTGCGCGAGCATCAATGTTGGCCCGGTCCATTTGGGGCAAATGCGCTGGCAGCCACACCACACAAGATCATCGCACAATAACGTCCTTCCCACTCCCCTCTCCAGAACCCCATCTCCATAACAACCACTCACAGGCTGCAGGAACAGCTTGAGGAGCGTGGCGGTGTGCAGGCCCTCCACGCTGCTCTGGCCGAGCTGGAGCAGGGCCTCGCTCCCATCCTCGCTGGCAGTCAGGTTGGCCAGCAGGGAAATGAGCAGGCCCGGGTGAGCGCACGCGTTCTCACGGAGGTAGTCCATGGCCCGAGCCGGGGCGTGGAGCGCCAGCAGCGCCGACTGCACGCCGGGCTCCTGGGCCAGGTTCACGAGGGCCGTCAGGGCGGGCCGGGAGGCTTCCGTGGTGTCGGCGATGAGGCGCAAAAGGGGTGGCAGTAGGGTGTCCGCACGATTGGAAAGCGTGGACATGCCTTCCGGGGAGCCCGTCAGGCCCTCCACCAGCTCCGCGGCATGCGTCCGAACCTGGGAGAGGCCAGTGAGGGACTTGGTGCAGGCCGGGGGCAGGACAGGAATCCTCGAGTCGACCTACGCGCCGAAGCGGATCGCGATGGGGGCATCAGATATTCAGATTGATAAGCCGATCAACCCACCGGTGCGCGCTTGTCGCTGAGGAACTCTATGAGCTCCTGGAGCTCGTCGGCATGCTGGCCGGCCTGTACCATCGCAAGGGGTCGAGCACAACCCAGTCCTGGTGCACAAGACGGGATGGTAGCATTTCTACCGATCGAAGCTTGTTGACGCGTCTTTGCAGCAGTCCGAGACCCGCCCAGGGTGCTCTCGCCCATGTGCCAGCCTGGATCGAGGTGGCCCTCGCGCAGAACCACATCGCGCCCTGACATTCTTACGGATAACACACCACCCCGCTTTTGTGGTGTCGTCGCTGCATCGCGCCAGAACCGCCACCCTCTCAGCATGGAAAGGATGCTGGCATCGACCTCTACTAGCAGGGGGGGGACCATGCGGTCCTTCCAGCCCTTCGTGGCGTCCAGCCCAGCCGTGCCTCGCCCTCGGGCGTTCGGCCACTGCCTCCCCCAACCGCGGCCCCGCAGTCTGGTGTCCAGGGCCCTGGACTTCGAGCAGCTCACCCTGGAGGATCTGACTCAGGAGGATCCCCCACTCGCGCCCCCGCCCCCGCCAGCCCCCCGTTCGGGGCGGAAGATGTCCCGTCGATTCGCTGCTGAGACGGCCAAGGTCCCGGGCAAGCACGTGGCCCTCAAACCCAGCGAGGCCCTGGAGCTGGTGAAGGCCACCGCCTCCACCAAGTTCAGGGAGACGGTGGAGCTGCACGCGCGGCTGAACATCGACCCCAAGTACACCAACCAGCAGCTGCGTGCCACGGTCTCCCTCCCCAAGGGCACAGGTGAGGGGCTGGGAGCCTTTTGGGGGGGGTGAGGTGGGGGGGCAAAAGGGAGAGGGCACACTCGAAGGGGAGGGGGAGGGGTGAAAGGGCATGCTGCCGCATGGAGTCCAAGGAAGAGCGGCTGACCTCGCAGTGCTGGGTGCATGGGCGGACAGCGCCTGGCTGCTTCAGCCGGCTTCCAGTATAGGGTCTCAATGCGGTTGCAGCCCTCGCACCTCCACTACTAGCCACGCAGCCACGACCCCAACACATCCCTCCCCCCATCGACTCCCGCCCCCTCTGCCCCGCCGCCCAGGCAAGGAGCTGCGGGTGGCCGTCATCTGCCAGGGCGACAACGAGAAGGTGGCTCGGGAGGCGGGGGCCGACCACGTCGGCTCCGCCGACCTGATCGCCGAGATCGCGGGGGGCATGATGGACTTTGACAAGCTGGTGGCGACCCCCGACATGATGCCGCGCCTGGCCAAGCTGGGGCGCCAGCTGGGCCCGCGGGGCCTCATGCCCAATCCCAAGGCGGGCACGGTGGTCACCGACGTGGCGACGGCGGTCCGCGAGTTCAAGGGCGGCAAGGTGGAGTACCGCGCGGACAAGGCCGGCAACGTGCACGTCGGCATCGGCAAGGCCGACTTCGACCCGGCGGCGCTGCTGGAGAACCTCAAGGCGGTGCAGGAGTCCATCGACGCCAACCGCCCGCCAGGGGCCAAGGGCATCTACTGGAAGACGCTCACTCTCTGCTCCAGCATGGGGCCCGCCGTGCGCGTCAACCACGCCGCGCTGCGGGAGATCAAGCTGCAGTGAGAGGGGGGCGGGGTTCGCGCCTCGCTCGAGTCTGCCCTCCTTCCCGCACACCCTTGCTTCCCACGTGCCCCCTTGAGGGCAGCAGTCTTTGTTGAAAAAGGCGGGGCGGCGCACGCAGCGTCTCGGGGCAAGGGAGGCGAAAAAAGGAAAGGGAAGGGGGGTGGGGTGTGCAGGGTGGGTGGGCTACCTGCAGCGGGCGTCAGGGTCGGGTGGGGGGGATCGGCAGCAAGGGGCCGCACGCTTGCTCGCCTGGTGCTGGGCGAGAGCGTGTCCAAGGAGATGTAGGGGCATGGGCGGAGGTGGGCGGGCAGTGAGGGGACTGTGTCGCCTCTGGCGCTGTGCCTCCTGGCCAGGCGCATCTGGGCGCACTTTTGAGCTCTGCATGGTGTTGGAGGGGAGGTGGCCGCTCCTGGATCCCTGGTCTCCCCCCCGTGCCATGTCGGGGAGCTTGCTGCCGAGGATGACACAGGGTCGGCCTCGGCCGCAGCTGGGGGCCACGCGCCGGGTGAGCGCGCCGCACCCAGCCTCCACGCTCACTGCTGCTGCGCGTCACTTGCGCCGCCTCGGCGACTCCAGCCGGATGGTGTCCCAGGCGGGGGCGGCGGCGGGCTCGGCCCCGCCCTCCTCGTCGCTGTCCAGCGCAAAGGGGTTCTCCTTCTCCTGCGACAGGAACTTGCTCTTGCCCAGGCGGGGCGGGGAGTCGAAGTCGTGGCTGTCGCCCGAGGGGTCCGGCCCCAGCGCGCCCGAGGCGCCGGGCGCCGCGCCGTCCAGCGCCGCGGCCTCCCCCGTGGATGCAGTGGCGTGCCCCGGGGCCGCGGCGGCGCCCGCCGCGGCGGCCACGGGGTCGACCCAGGTGTCCGACCGCCCCATCTCCACGTCCGGGAGCAGACTGGGGTCCTTGACTGCGCTGCTCTCGTGACCCACAGCGACAAAGGTGCGCGCGCGCACGGTCTTGGCCTTGGCCCCGGGGGCCGAACTGCCGTCAGAGTAGAGCACGTAGTTGTGGTAGGCAGGCGCGAACTGGTGCACCGTGTCCGTCACCATGTCCCTGGAGGGGAGGGGGGG